CCTGGAGTCTCATCTTGCCAGCTACTCTGCTGCTCACCGTGTTTTCACAATCCTTGTTTTAAACTCGCCTAGCCGCCTGCCCGACTGTTGCCCCATCTCAAAGAGGGGGCCGTTGGTCACCCACGGTGGCAGGGGGCTTCAGATCTTACCTGCATGGTGACGATATCTCATTGACGGTGATCCGGTCCGGCAAATTCAACGTTGCGAAGTCACAACACGTTCAGCAATCAGTTAATCAATCAGGAACCCGGCGCGATCCCACTTTGGGTTTTTTGTCTACCAGATACCAGAGGAATTCAACGCAGTTCTGAGCAATGCGAAGCAAGGCATTGCTTGGCAGTGTTAAGCATTGCACGGCATTGCTTGGCGTTGTTTGGCATTGCTTTGTATTGCCTGACATTGCTTTGCGTAGTTTGGCATTGCTTTGAACCGTTGTTTTGCATTGCTTGGCATTGGCTTTGCATAGCTTTGCATCGTTGCTGGGAATTGCTTGGCATTGCTTGGTATTGCTTCGCATTGCTTCGCATTGCTTGGCGTTGCTTGGCATTGCTTTGCATTGCCTGGCATTGCTTTCCGTTGCTTGGTATCGCTTGTCATTGATTTGCATCGCTAGGCATTCGTTGGCATTCGTTGGCATTGCGCAAATAGCATTGTCTCGAAGTGGTTTGCATTACTTTGCATTGGCATTGCCTCGAAGTGCTTTGCTTTGCGGTGCTTGGCGTTGCTTGGAATCATTGCTTGGCATTGCTTGCCATTGTTTGGCATTGCTTTCCGCTATTTTACATTGCTAGGCATTGTCTATTATTGCTGAGCATTGCTTGTACTCGTTGATGGGCATCGTTTGGTTTTTCTTAGCTTTACTCGGCATTGATTGGCGTTGCTTTGTATGGCTCGGCGTTGCTTGGCATTGTTTGGCATTGGCTTTGCATTGCTTGGCGACGCTTGGCGTTTCTTGACACTGCTTGTGGAATCGTTTCTTGGCATTGCTTGGTATTGCTTGGCATTGCTTGGCATTGCTTCACGTTGTTCGGCGTTGCTTGGCATTGCATGGTGTTGTCTGGCATTGCTTTCCGCTGTTTTGGCATTGCTAGGCATTTTATTGGTACTGTTTGGCGTTGCTTATGTAGCACTGCTTGGAATTGGTTTGCATTGCTTGTCATGACTTTGCATGGCCTTGCATTGCATAGCATTGCTATTTATTGGTTTCCATAGCTTTGCAGTGGTTTGCATTTCTTAGCATTGCCTGGCGTTGCTAGACATCGTCGCTTGGCATTGTTTGGCACTGCTTTGCATTGCTTGGTATTGCTTGGCATTGTTCGGAACCGCTTTGCAATGGGTTGCATTGCTTGGCATAGCTTGGCATTCTTTAGCGATGCTTGGTATGGCTTGGCAATGCGCGGCATTGCTCCGCATTGCTTGGCGCTGCTTGCCGTGGCCTGGCCTCACTTCGCATGGTTTTGCATTGCTCGTCGTTGCTTAGCATCGCTTGACATTGCTCGGCACTGCTGCGCAATGCCTGGCATCCCTGGGCAGCCCCGAGCAGCCCCAGGCAAGGCCGGCAGGGTAGGGTCCGCACCCACTCGCTTCTTTCACAATCAAGACAGAAACCCCCTGCGCACGTGCCCCTCGCCCTCCTCCTCCTCCTCCTCCTCCTCCTCCTCCTCCTCGGCACACACCCTCCTCCTCCTCCTCCTCCTCCTCCTCCTCCTCCTGCTCCTTCCGTGGTCCTTCTCGTCCTCCCCCTCCCCCTCCTCATCCTCCTCTTTCCTCCTCCTCCTCCTTCCTCCTCCTCCTCCTCCTCCTCCTCCTCCTCCTCGGCGATCCCATGGGGCCTCATGCTTGCATGGAGGTGTTGTGCTGGCGCGGCCTATCTGACTCGATTTCGACTCCTTGCCGATGCAGGCCGATCGGACGCACCGCTGATTCGATCCGATTTCCCGATTCAATCCTGGCCGATCTTGCCCTATTCGGTGACTGTCCCCTTGGACGTTCAACAAAAAAAGCCATGCGTACCCAGGGATGAAGTGATCTCGCTCGAGTCCCCCCACTGCGATAGCAAGGTGGTGACAGCAATGGTTGCCGCTGCTGTCGCCGCTGCGAGCGATGACTTGGGTATCGTTGCAATGGCTGTCGCTGCTGCCATCGTTGCAGCAACGTTTGCGGCTCTTGCTTCGCCAGCCCCATGCACTTGGTTTAGGCAGCGCCATGTACCCAAAAGGCCATTCGGCTGGCAATACCATCTGGCCCCTTTTTTGTTTCCAGCCACCTGGTAACCAGCCCTACGAGTTGTCATTGTTTGGCCGGGCTGTCGCCGAATGGTACCATCAGGGCAGGCTGGTGCTTCTCTACTCTTACACTTGGAGCAGTTTTAGTTCCCACTGTAAGGAAGGAAGGAAGGGAGGAAAGAAGGACGCGACCGTGGCGGGAGTGACGGAGGACTCACGTTGGAACTTGTTCGTCTGATCAACGTTCAATTGTTGAGCGCGGGAGAGAAGCTGGTGATCCTGGCGCCGCACGGTTTTATGGCGCATCCAACTACATTTGAGTGGGCAGGCTTCAGTGTCCAACAGTGGCGAGGGACTTTTTGCCCACCGTTATCTGCTGGGGGTCAGACGGGGGTATGATGAGGAGGGAACGGGGGCATTCGAAAGTCGTGAACTGTGCTACATTCGGTGTTGACGTGTGTGGCGGCCTGTTTACGTGCGTGGACGGCCTGGCCTATTTTTTTGCTCCTGGCCTCGGGTTCCTTGACGGATGCCGTTTCGTGCGCCCAGGCCTCTCAGGCCTCCCTCGGGTCTCGGCTGCAATCTTCTGGCTATTGCCAGAACGCTAACAACAGGTCCCGGTCCCACGCCTCTGCTGATATAATGCGAATCGCAAGTTTTATTCTGCCGAGGTCGGTGGCGCCAGAGTGGCTCCTCACACGCGTTACCGCGGGCCCCCCAGCATTTGCCGTCTGGAGCGTTTTCCCATCAGCTGCATCTGAGCAAACAAGCGGCCAATCGCGGCTGGCTCTCGTTTGAGTTTCTGTGGCCTTCTGAGGCCTTTTGGGGCCCCGCTCAATGTGAAGAGACTGGTGTCAATTTCTGTTGTGCAAGGTGCGCTATTGTTTGGCCTCACCCGGTGTCTCCTCACGGAGGCCCACGAGGCCCAGTTAGATGTTGCGTTGTTCGGTAACATTCGTTGTGTAGCGGCGGGTGCTACGTGCGATCGGTCGGGGGCTCATCCGAAGTCTTGGTAGAACCGTCGTGTCTGGAAGTGGATGGACATCGTCCCGTCACACGCCGAGCTCCTGATCCTGAGGTTCCGCTGGTATCAGTCCATCGTCCGCTGGCCCGACCAGCACCGCCAGGTCGTCGCTCTCTTGTTCGGTCAGTTCGGCTTCGACTACTCCCCCACGCTACTTGAAGGCCCTCTTACTGCTCGTGCCAACGCTTTCGCTGTTCGGTTCGTCTCGGACGTTTACTCCGTTCAGTTGCTCACTGACTACGAGGATTGGCCTCTGGCCTGGGGGGGGGGAACTTGCACAACTTTTTTCATGACGAGGACGTTTTGCACTTGTTTCTCCCGGCTGACGTCTCGGCGTTTCGTGAAATTTGGCAGGCTGGATGTGCAGAGCTTGACGCCATCGATTTCGGCAACCCCTTCGATTCCTGGAAACGGGACCTTGGTTTCAATGAGTCCTTTCTCAAGTTCCTGGGCCCCGCGGGCTGCGTCTCCACGTGTGATTGCACTACCGGGGATGGGAACGTCTGCGGTGCTAAGTTCCTCACGCGCGCTGCGCGAATTCCGCGCGAGACGCACGCTATCGGCAGGTCCAACGGCGATTTCTCGTATTACGCTAGATGTGTGGCTACTGAGTGCCCAGCGTGTCGGTCCAGCTTCGCCTCCCAGAAAACTGCCAAGGCTCACCTCTGCCGAGCGTTCCGTCGAGGGTCTCTTGTGCTGCCGAGGCGGCCCGCGCTATCCACCCCGTCGTGCCTCGCAGGCTCCAGTGTCCCGTTTGCAAGCTCAACCCCTTCGCCGATCCTGGCATCGCTCGGACGTGTGCATTTTTCTTTCGGCGAGGACCATCGAGGAGTATCCACGCACGAAACCGCAAACAAACAGGGAATGGACGTCCGAGCGATGGCGAGCGATTTGGCTCAGCTCCAGCTGCGCACTGGCGAGCCGCGCCTCCCGCTCGTGCCGGAAGGCGCGCCGCGCCGAAAGGGGTGGCGCCGACGCCGAGGTGGCGGCTGCCCGGTCGGGCGGCCGCCGGAGGTCCACGGCGCTCATCGCGCGGGCGAGGCCGAGCGTCCCGTGGAGTCCAGCGGGGGTGGGCACGAACCCCCAGCAGTGGCACGTCGATTCGTGAATTGTCCGTTTTCGGTTCTCGAGAGGGCGCCGTGGCCGTTCTTTTCCACGCCTGCGGCCGCCAGGTTTGGGCCCGAGGTCGTTTTCACGAAGCCCCGTTTTGCTAAAGGCGGTCCCCGAGTCCAGCGGGGGCGGCGCAGCGTCAGCGGCATTTGGGGGACAGCTCGGCGTAGTCGGCGGCCCGCAAAACGACGAGGGCGACAAGAAACAAGCAACGCAACAGGCACCTCGGCAGGGTGAAGGGCATGGGCTGCAACAGGAAGCAGGCTGGCCTCATCGACGTGCTGCTCAAGCAGGGCCTCCTGGCCACGAAGATGGCTCGCGACCTGCAGGCGGCGGGGGTGGGCGCGTTCTTCGCGGGCGCGGGCGCTCCAGATATCGGCGCGGCTCAGGGAAGCGGGGCGGCGTATTCACGCGAACTCCTAGCCTGCATGTCTTCAATCGGTTTTTCGCCAAGTGGCTCGAGCGTGAACTCGCGCTGGGACAGAGGACGCACTCGCTGCTCAAGGTGTGGTTCGCCAAGGTTTGGGTGGAACTGCAGCCATGCGAGTTCTTCCTTCCCGCGTGATGAAGTGCTTCGGCCCGTCGAAGCGCAAGGTGCACACTATTGTGCATGAGTGCCGATGGGCCAGCGCTCGCCCGAGTCCGACGAGCAGCCTCTGCCTTCGCCCGTGCTCGTCTGCAGCCTGCTCCAAGAAGCACCGGCCGAGGTCGGGACTCGCGGGGCGCTGGGCGCGGCTCCGCCGGGCGCCGTGGAGGAGATCATTCAAAACGCGGTCGACTGTGAGGCAGAGGGCTAGCTCGTCTTCTTCCCGCCGCAAGATCCCAGCCTGGCTAGGTTCGGTCGTCACTGTGTTGCTGCAGCTCGAATTGGTCAAATCGTAGCTTGTCTAGGTGCAATAATCGTTGTTTAGCTGCAGCTCGTTCTGGCAAATCCTAGCTTCGCCTGGGTTCAGTCGTCGCAGTTTTGCTGCGGCTCGCAGTGGCCATGTGGTGTCCCGCCTACGATCGTCTGGCAGCTCAGACGTTGATATGCGGGTGACCCCTACCTCATGCCGCCCGATGGCAGCACCAACGTGTTCTTACGTTATAATGACGTGGGCTTCGTGCTACGCCGCCTGTGGGGCATCGTCGCGATCGTGAGTGTCGATGGCGTTTTCTTCCAGGGGCTCATCGTGTACGGTTAGGCCTGGCCCCGTTTTTTGTCATGTCGCAGCTGTCGCTGCAGGGTGAGCTCCCGATCGCATCCTACCGACGACCCTGGGGGCCCCTCCGCTGCTGGTGCTTTTGACCCCGCTCCCCTCGCTCTCCTTGCGTCCTGCCTCCTGGCTCCCCTCGCCCGCCTCGGCCCCTGGGTGATGTTTGAATGGCCAGTTGGGCCTGCTGTCCCTCCTTGAGTAGGGTTTGCGCGCGTCCCATTCGTCGGTGCGCGTGTCCATGGGGCCCAGCTTCTCGGTCCGTCAGGGCCCGTTGGGTCCTGCTCGATACTCGTGGCAGTTGATTGTCGTCCGACGGGTGCCTGTAATTTTTTGCTGCTCAAAGTGTAACCCTTTGACTTGAGCGCCCCATGTCCGCAGGCGCGCGCCGAGCGCGGGCTTGTGGCTGCCGCCGCCGCCGCGCCTTTCCCTGTGAAGCTGACTGACAGTTGCGGGTCCATAGTCGTGGTTTAACTTCTCTTACCTTCCCCTTCCGTGGCCGTGCTGGCTTGGCGCTTAGTTTTATGGCGAGACGGAAGCGGATGCCGCTGATCCGCGGCAGGCAAGAGTGTCCAGTCTGGCAATTCCCCTCCCCCCCGGGCAGCTTTGCGCTTTCCCGCGTGGGCTGCCCTATTTCGCGCGCCGGCGGTGCCCAGCCGCAGCGCGCGGCTGCTGCCGAGCCGTGGTGCTGCAAGTGGTGCAGGCCCGCGCAGGTTGGCACCAATGGGGTCAACAAGGCTGACCACACGTGGTGCTCGCAGTGTGGCTTGTGCAAGGGAAGGGCGTTCCAAGGTGTGATTCCGCCCAAGTTCCCCGCTCACCGTTCTACCCTGATGTTATTTTGGCGGGAGACGATGTTGGAACAAAACGACCCAGTGAATTGCGCGAGCAGATGCGGGAACTGCATGGGAGGAAGCGACATGGACAAGACAGGCGGCGGTGCGACCAGTCCAAGCCTACCGTATTCAGCATTTTGATGCGACGGCTAAGTCTGGTCGTTTTGCAGAGACCAATACGGCGCCAGTGGTGCGGAATTCGAGTCGAAACTCGTGTCTGAACGTGGTCAATCGGCAGCCGGCCTCGACGTAGAAAATCCAATCGAGGCACATCTGCAGAGTGTGTTCAATCAAATTGGTGCTGCCATTGCCAGGAAGTACGCTTGCACGTCAAGGTGGATGTAGCCAAGGCGACGTTTGCATGGCGGCCCAGACAGTCGAGTTGGCAAAGAAGGCCGGAGCAGCAGTAGCACACATCATCGGGCTCCATGTCAGGTTGTGTACAGTGGTCATTCCAGCCGCATCTTGCGCAATGCCTGGCGGAAAGCCTGCTCAACCGGCCATCCTGCCAGGGCTTCAGGCGACCGTTGTTCAGTCCGACATTGCCATCGCGGCCCTTCGAGGGTTGTTCAAGCTAGCAGGCGACCTGGAATTTATGGCAGATACGGTGCAGAAAGTCAGTCTATCTGCGGCTGGGCAGCAGGAGGCATGTCAGGCTCACGAGGGGAAGGAGGAGGAGGAGGAGAGGACGAGAAGGAGGCGAATGAAGAGGAGGCGGCGGAGGCGGTTGAATCGGAGGAGGCGGAGGAGGCGGCGGAGGAGGAGGGGGAGGACGAGGAAGAGGAGGAGGAAAAGGAGGAGGAGGATGAGGAGGAAGAGAAGGAGGAGGAGGAAGAGGAGGAGGAGGAGGAGGAAGAGGATGATGATGATAATAATAATAAGTCGGATAAAGATGATAATTATAAGAACATTCAATAATACTTACAGTAATAAGACGACAGATACTAACAATAATATAAGGCATTTTCATAATAATAAGAATACCACTAATAAGAATAGTATAATTAAAACTAATCATAAAAATAAGAATCAGAGTAAAAATAACAAGAATACGCATAACAAAAATAATAAGCATACTACTGGTAATAGTAAGGATCGTAGTAATGTCAAGAATATTAACCATAACTCGAAGAATAACACTACTAGGATTAATACTAGTATTAGTAATTATAATGAGAATGCAGAGAAGAGTTAGACACACGAATAGTATTACGAATCCGAATAATCAGAATAATACGAAAAAGAAAAATACCGGTACGGACAAAACTATTAATAAGCATACGAAGAACAATGGGCATACTATAAGAAGAAACATACTAATACTAAGAATAATAAGAATACAACGAAGAAGAATAATACACGACGAATAAGAAAAACAAATAATAATATTAAACATCATAATACTACGGGTAATAAGACCACTAATCATAATAATAATATTACTAATGGGAATAACAAGAAGAATACGAATAATAATATTAAAAGTAAACAGAAGGATATTACGAATAATTCTAATAACCATAATCACAATAATAACATGACAAAATACAAGAATATTAATAAGACGAATCACAATAATAATAGTAATACTAATACTAACAAGAACAATAATAAGGGTACTCATAAGGATAAGATTGTAAATGCTCATATTAGTAATAGCAGTAGTAATATGAATCCGAATACTAATATTATTACTAATAAGAAGAATCCGAATACAACTACAACTAATACGAATAATATTAATACTAGTAAGAAAAAAGAATAATCATCATGATAATAATACGAAGACTAATGCTAATACTAACAAGAATACTAACACGAAGAAGACGAATACTAATACAATTAAGAAGAAGAGTGCTAATCATAGTAATAAGCATAAGAAGAAGACGAAAACGAATACTACTACTAATAAGCATAACCAGAATAATAATGATGCTAAGGAGAATATTAATAATACTAAGAAGAAGAACCATAACACATAATAATACTAATAAGTATAATAGACATGATAATAATATGAAGAAGAAGAAGAAGCATACTACTACGAATGAGAAGAACAACAATATCAATAACACTATTAATAATACTAAGAATAATATTCATACGATTAAGAATGCAAAGACACATATTAATAATAAGCATATTCAGAAGAATAATGCGACGACGAATAATACTAATACCAATAATCATATTAATAACAGTAATATTAATATCAACAATAATAAGAAGAAAAATAATAATAATACCACTAAGAAGAGTAATAATAATAATAATAATAATAATAATACAAATAATAAAGGATCACAGTATTAAGAAGAATGAGAAAAAAGGAGGAGGAGGAGGAGGAGGAGGAGGAGGAGGAGGGAGGGGCGGAGAGGAGGCGGCGGAGGAGGAGGCGGAAGGCGAGGAGGCGGAGGGGCGACGAGGAGGAGGAGGAGGACGAGGAGAGGAGGAGGAGGAGGAAGAGGAGGAAAAGGAGGAGGAGGAGGAGGAGGAGGAATAACGGGAGGAACGAAGGGTAGGAGGCGCAGGCGGAGGAGGAGGCGGAGGCGGAGGCGGAGGCGGATGCGGAGGCGGAGGCGGAGGAGGGGGAGGGGGAGGAGGAGGAGGAGGAGGAGGAGGAGGAGGAGGAGGAGGAGGAGGGGGAGGAGGAGAAGGAGGAATAAGAGAAGGAGGAGGAGGGAGGAGGAGGAATAATTAGAAGAAGCGCCGGACGACGAACATGACGAATCATACTATTAATAACAATATGAGTCATAAGAGTCATAAGAATGGTAATCAGAAGAAGAATGCGGATAATAATACTAATGATAATAAGAATCAGAAGAATGAGACAAATATGAATAATAGTATGAATCGTACTAAGAAGAATAGTAAACTAATAATATTACTAATACTAACTAAGTGACTTCATGCGTGAACAAACAAATAAATAATCCATAAATACATACTACTAGTATTATTCATAGTAACATCCCTTGTTATTTCACTACTAAAAAGAAACATAATACTAATGAGACTAGTATTATGAATGGTACTGCTGCTAATAATTCCACTACGGATACCGATACGAATGGTATTTTTTTATGTCACTACTAAGACTAAGAAGGCTACCCTTACTCATAATAATAGTATTAAGAACAGTACTACTACTACTACTACTACTACTACTACTACCAATAATACTACTAATCGTGCTATCGATACTACGAATTATAAGAATCATACGACCCATCATACTACTAATACTACTACTATTGCTAATACTAATGCTAGAATGATACTAACATATCATTACTTATAGTACTAGTAGTAGTACTAATAGTACGCAAACTTGTGATACTAATCAGAATAATATTAGTAATACTAATAATACGAACCATACTAGTAATACTAATAGTAATACTACTACTACTACTACTATTACTACTACTATTATTATTCATTCTACTAATAATACTAATAATACTACCAATACTACTACTACTACTAATAATACTAATTATAATGCTAATGATAATACTACCAAGAATACTAGTATCACTAGTAGTAATACTGATAATAAATACTAATAATACCAATACCACTAATACTATTAATACTATTAATACTACTAATAAGAGTAATAACAGTACTATAACTACTAATCGTACGAATAATAAGCAGTCGGCACCGACTAAGACGAAGAGGAGGAAGAGGAGGAGGAGGAGGCGGAGGAGGAGGAGGAGGAATTGGAGGAGGAGGAGGACGAGGACGAGGACGAGGAGG